GCAGCAGCAGCAGCAAAGCAGCAAGCACTGGCAAGCAGCAGCAGGCAGGCGACCAGCACCAGCAAAACCAGCGGCAACAAGCCAGCAGCAGACCAATAGCAGACCAGCAACCCCGGCAAACCAGCAGGAGCAAGCAACAGCAGCAGCAGCCAGCAGAAGCACAGCCGGCCAGCACTTGCAAAAGCAGCAGCAGAGCCGCAAGCACCAGCAAGCAGGCAGCCAGCATCGCAAAAGCAGCAGCAAACGAGAAGCAAAGCAGCCAGCCAGAAGCAGCAACACCAGCAAGCAAAGGCGCGCAGCAGCAGCAACAGGAGCAGCAGCAGCAACCGGCTACGACAGCGACAGCGACAGCGGCAGCAGGAACAAGCCGCCAGCAGACCAGCAAAGCAGAACCAGCAACACTGGCATGCCAGCAACAGCAAGCAGAAGCAAGCAGCAGCAGACAGCAACAGGTATCGTTGGGTGACCGTAGGGGTAGCATTACAATGTCCGATACGTGGAAGGATTAACGGCTCCGCACTCTTTCCCGAGCTCTGGCCATGATCAAGGTTCAGCTCAGTAGATTTTCGGTATGCGTACAAAACGACTCCAAGCCGCGACAATTCTTTAAGGATCTTTCCATCTCACTGGCTGCAATGCAAGTCTTGGAGGTATCGTTAGTAGGACGTCCTCTATCGCTAAAACATTGCAAAGACATAGGTGTCTGAAAGACTCAAGTTATAAGTAAAATCACTATAGTTTTGTCTCTGAATCATGTGAATGAGCGGTGATGTTTTTGGCCTGTAGAGCCCTTCAGAGCAAGCAAGCAACAACTAAACATTAGCAAATATCAGGAGGATATGTACTCTCCCAGGGTCGGATGGTTATGTAAGCCCCAGATTTCTGATTGAATTGATAAGTCTCACATCACAAACCCTGCTCTCCCACGCAATTCCGCGTACTGTGTGCAGTTTGGCTGCACGTATGCTTTGGAGAAGCCTGTCGAATGGATGGTGTAAAAAGAGAGCGAGCGGGTGGTTTACCTGTGTGTTGTACGCGCTGCCCTAGGCGTAAATTATTCAACACACCATCTCTGATGATGCTGAGCCTTAAAACCATTGAAGATTGGATTGAACGCATGCTGCGTCTGATTGATACACTCCACGTCGCATCCCATGTCACATCTCTTCCCCGGCCGGAGGCACTGGAAGCGCCCGTCTCTGGAGATCTGTCAGCTGGACCGTCTGTCGGCCGGATTTGAGGCGCAGGGGTCTCCGACTCATGCCCAAGAAAAAATAGGAACAAAGTAACTTTGTGCACTGACTTCACGAAATGTGTACCCCAAAATGTGACCTGTCGACTCATGGGCTGTGATGCCAGCCATTTTTTGAATGTTTGGGGGAGGTGTGAACTACCCTCCGATCGGATAGGGGTTCGATCCAACCAAGTGTCGGACCATGGGCGGGTTTGAAGGTTTCCTGGCCCCTCCCACTGCTGGCCAAGACCGCTTGGACTTGGTAGCTAGTAGTTTTGGCATGCGTTGGCCACCGTTGGCCATAAGATTAGTGGGCACCAAAGAATGATCAGCGGATGGTACCGGTAGATGTCTGCAGCAGGTAGCAAAAGACTGTTTCCCTATGATTATCTGGCATTGCTGTGGTTCACATGTTGCATGTTCTTCGCATTTTTCCTCATGGATAGAAACTCAAACAGTAAATGTCGAAGAACCTCAATTCAATTCTTTACATGGAAACACAATTCAAAACTCTTAGCTTGTTGAGTGGTCCATTTCTATGAGATGATGTTTAACGGTCAAAACACCTGGACCAAACGCCTGTAACTTGACCATGGACATGGCAGTGGTTTCAGATGGTACTGGCCACCCGAAGATGCCGACCCAAGATAGAGGATCCACTACTGAACCACCCAACTTGGGGGTTGTGCCATCTATTCTGAAACAACTAGTCGCTTCATGTCTCTTCTATTCATGTTCGGTGGAAAAACCTGGGATCTCTTGGATGAAAGACCCACAGCCACATCGCCCTTTTCTTAGCACGGTGCCCCTCCTGGTTGTCGGGCGGCTTAGGTGCCGACAGGGGCACGAGGGGCGGCAGGTGCATGCTTTGGATGACCTGGGCCAGCGACCAAAGTGACCCTACCATATGCTACCAGCAGTCGCGAACAGGTGACCAAAGGACTAAAAAACCACCCCTTTGTGACCCTGGTAGGGAAATAAAACTATATGCATTAAAATTATGTACATGTAGAAAAATGGCTTCAGAGGTTCGATTCTCCGGATGTTGATTGGTTGAAATGGACCACTGCAGTTGTCGAAAATCGATGTTGACCTGAATGCACTGGAGGTACGTTGTCTTTGGCTCTGAAAAGATACACTGCGTTTGCACCGGGAAATTATGGCAGTACCACCGGCCTAGTATATGTTCAGCTCCGTGACTACAGTAAGTCTCTTGATCCGCCTGGCCCCCTAGCAAATCCGGGTTCGGTGTTTAGTGGTGTTAAGCAATGCCATCCTTAGATGGTTTCCAGAAACTTGGTAGCTTGTATGAAACATCAGTGGAAAAGCCGACCGCACGATGTCTAACGTTATCTCTGCTGCGAAGACTGGAGGACATGATTGAACATAGTGGATGCCGCGGCATGCGACCTAACCCGCACAGCCCAACGCAAGTGGAACGAGCCGACCAAACCAGGTGAAACAAAGATGGATGGACTGGCTAAGCCCGGTAGCATTCCCCCGTGTTTGATCAGACTCACTTCAGCACGCACAGCATTGTGCATACAAAGGAAGGACTACCGCAAGGTGAGATTGAGATCCAGCACCAACTTAAATTGCACACAGCGACGCAAGCCGTAGCCAACGGCGCTCCTCTGACATGGGTATTGCTGCAGTGGCTTTCTCCTGGCGAGCATGGCGGCCTAGGGAGTGCTTGCAGTAGTCATCCAGAGCACCCTTCAGTTTACACCACACAGACTGCATCTGTGGTCCGGTGAGGGCGCCTGGCTTTATTACTACTGCATTGTAGCAAACTTCACAGCCGCCCATCAATTCGTTGACGGCACGGCGAACTGTTTCGAAGTTGCCCATGTCCCATTCTTCTCCAAAGAATAAGGACGCCAACGCGGATGGCCCAGGCCCCATGACAGCAGTTGGGTCCTTCCAGTAGTCTGCTAGCAGAGCTGGTAACGAAGGACCCAAGGTGCCAGCATCATAGCCTGCGAAGTGAATTGCGTTCAGAGCCGCTTCCACGCAATTCTTGGCGGTGAACTTTCCATTCCCAGGCAAAGCTTGCCAAGCATTGACCAGGTCATAGTATGTCTGGCAAGCTTCAATATCATGGAGGAAAGTACCGGAGCGCAGCAGAGCAAACGCGAGAGACAAGCAGACGCTTGCCTTCTGGGAGTTGGTTCCTGGAACTCTGCTCATCTCTTGGGTTTGCTGCTGTTGCCATTCGACAGCATCCTGTGCCCCAATGAAAGTGCCAAGCTGGGCGGCCGTTTCAATGACGCAGAAGCCCACATAGTTACTGGACGCGGGCAGCAAGAGAGAAACGGCCGCAGCCTGTCGCAGCCGGCCAAAGCACTTTAGAGTAAGCCACTCGTACTGAGAGAGTTTGCGGGGCTCGTCGCGCAACACTTCTCTGAGCCATTGGACACACGCTCTGGTGAAAGGGTCCTCTGCTGATGGCCGGACACTGTGGAGCTGCGAACAGAACATTACCTCTGGTAAAGTGCAATGTCGACCAATAAATTCGCGGCACGACTCTCGCAGCGTCACTGGAGCAGATAGCTTCCGCATACCGTTCCGTGCCTGTGCGACGACTAGAACAGCCTTCCGGTAGAACTGCTCTTGCCTGCCTCCGAACTTGAGTTCTATCTTTGTGAAGTCGATGGCGCCGGCTACGTGATCCATCAAGACCCTTGTCACGATAAAAATGACTGTGACAATGGTCAAGAAGGTAGTAGGGACCTTTGGATCGAAATCTTCCTGGCACAGGCGGCCATCGTTGGCCCCAAGCAGGTCCCGGACTTTGAAAGCTGAGTGCTTCACCACTGACGTGGTCTTCAAAGTTGTAGGTCTGCGTCCGGCATTTACACGTGGACCACCGTGTGCGCTGGGCTTCTTCTTGACCATTGTGCTCAGGAAGGCTGAGGTCAGCTGGGTGTTATCGCCAGGTTTGTAACTTTCCCGGGATGAGCCCGGAAGACCCTTGCACTGTCTTGGAAGTCACTAGTCACTATATAATCTGTGGTGGCTACTGTGTACGTGTATATAATCTGGGGTGGCCTTCCTGACATCCTGATGATATTAAAATGGTGTTTATTATCCGTTGACTTCACGGGGGGTATAGTTGCATGTGTTTGGGTCAGGCGCTACAGCGTTTTACACCGCTGCTTTCTTCTCGAGGCGCGGTCGAGAACACCCTCTTCCGTTGTAGCATCAGCGTGAAAAGTACTCTACGCCAAGGGACGTTGGAAGCCTGTCCCAAAAACCTCTGGTAGTATAAAATTGGAACAATCCTGCAGAACTCTCCTGAATATATCAACACAGGTTGGGTCTGGCCTATTTCCAATAAAAAATGACGATCATGGTCTAGAAAGACCTGCCGTCTAAACGGCGATCATTGCTTACTGAATGCAACACGTAGTTGGACAACCTCAAAACATAATCATCCTAGAGTGCGTCGATCACTGCGAGGCCTGGCCCACAGCAGCTTATTAGGGTTATTAGGCGAATTGACACCCGCCACGCGTATCAGAGACGAAACCACCCCGCATCTCAGTCAACCCCTGCGGCAGCCCAGAAACTGTGGCAGCGCGGCAACCAAAGATTCGCTTGGGCAGTGGATCGAGGGTTCTCCACAGCCTTAATCACCGACTGGACACCGCCTGTCCAGAATACGTCTATCTTTTCTTTATGGTCCATGGATCCTGGCTGGGTTCTATTGATTTCTCTCGCTCTATCTCTCTCTCTCTCCCCCTCACTCTCCATGTATCTATCTGGTCCCGCCAGAAGTAGCACGGTCTCAAGATTCCCCCGCAAAGGCGCCCCTGGTCTTTTGGCTGCAAGGCTCCTGGCCTAAGCCAAACCTTTACGAGATCATTGTAGATTGGGAGCTTCAACCCTGAGGCTGCAGTTTTGGCTGACTGGTGATCAACACACCAGGACCCAGCAGCATCACCAGCATCATCGGGCAGTGGGCGGGCACACTTGAAAAAAAAGTGAAATGAAAAAATCACCGTTTTTTCAAGATTGCGTGCCCTGTGCGTGAAAAATGCTTCCGCCAAGAGTAGATGTCAGAGCTGGTGTATCCCTTAGAATGGTTCCCTGTCTCTTCCAAAACCACCGGGAGCATTGACCAGCAGGCGGCCTCCTTCCCCCAAAAACAAGACTTTTGATTTCTTGGTGGATCACATCTTGAGTACAGACGACAAAAACATGCGCCTAGAAAGATGGTAGAAGCATTCTCCCCTGTATTATGTCTCTTCGCTCAAAGCATGTCCCATCTCCGCAACGCGCTCCAAGATGCAAAGGGGCACTTCGGTAGCCTCTTGAGGGCTGATATGCTCCTTGCGCAGCGGATGGGATAGAACGGGCAGCAACTTACTTTTAATCCAAACAATTCTGTTTACTTTACTAGGAAACGTGTCGCTGGGAGGACCTCTTTACACTTGCGCCTGCCCTGCGTTCTTAGGCTGCTTGTTGCCTTCCTGGACTTTGGGCCAAGCTCCCAAGATCTCATCGATCAGTGGGTTTGCTTGCCCTCCCTGTGAGTGGTGCAGCCACTGGAGAAGCTCACCTGCTCTTTGGGCCAGGATCACATCTTTCTCCGTCCATGTTGGCAAACCTGGCTTGTTGAAGTGGCTCCAGTTAAAGCGTAGGAATGCCAGATCGGAGAGCAGATTAAATGTGTCCTGCTTCAGGGTTTTCTGTGCACTTGGAAAGTACGCCTTAAAGGCAGCCCAGTGGCGCTCTACAGGGATTGTACCGCTCTGTACTGGAATCCCTGCCATGTGCAAGGCGAGGGCGCAACGTCGCCAGTGCATGAGGCCTCTAACTCGGGTCTTCATGAGGAGGCGTTGGTAATGCTTGGCCAACTTAGCATTCCAGACCCTCTTTTGACCCTTTACATGCAGGGCGGTGAAGGACCTGATGCGTAGGAGCCCCTTGCGAGGTCTGGTTGTCTGGCGACCTGCTCGGTACCAAGCAGACATCCTGCGCACCTCCTTCTTAAAGTTTCTCTTGTCTTGGTAATTCCAATAGCCGTTGCATGTGTGCAAACGACCCCCACGGCATTCGCCAGTCGTGCCAGAACTGGGCGGGGTGGGTCGGCCCCGCAGACTTTTTTCCACCAGTCCTTGTGTGTGCGGACATGTGGACACGCCAGGAAGTCGCGAAGCTTGACCAAGGAGACTTGGTCACACGTGGCCTTGAAGGTAGCAAACTGTGCCACTCGCATTCGGAGACACGCTTGGATAATGTCTTGGACTTCCATTGCCGCAGGCGGCTTTGCTGGAGTTTGCTCTGCAACATCTTGTGGCTGAGGCTTTGCTGACAGGCGGCACAGCATTTGCTCGTGATCATGGATGAAATGAATGGCATCGTTAGCCTTGGGCGATACACACTTGCGTGCGTTGATCACATCATGGTAGGGCTCACCTGCGATCACTGTGCAAGCGGCCTCTTGGGGGTCTAAGATGTCGGCGACCCTGTTAGGACTGCCTTTAGGCGTGTTTGCCTTGGATTGTATCCGGAGTTCTTGCCCAAAGGATTGGCACAGCTCTGCGAGCAGTCGTTGATGCTTGTGATAGGAGTCTGTGGCCACAAATGCTGGAAGTGCATGCTGCAGGGGCAAACTTGCGTTTGTTCTGGCAACCACCAGGTCATGCAGCACTTTGCGCAGCAAAGGGGAAATATCCTCCCAGCTTTCTGAACGAGTGGCCCGCACAGGGCTGAGAAGACTGCCGTCAGTGCCACAGATGGCAAACAGGCATGTCATTGGATGTCTGCGTTTACGCCTGTTGCCTGGCTCATAGACGGTGATGGTTTTTGCTTTTTTCCAGTGACCATCGATGCAGAGTCCCGGGCCATTGTATATGGCTTGCAAGGCTGTCAAATGCTGGACTCGTGGAGCAAGGATGGATGGAAAAACAGCTTTCGCTAGGGTCGCCAATTGATGCGCGCTTGGGAGCGCTGCCAACAAGACCCGAATGTTGCGGGCATGGGTGGAAGCAGGCGCAGAGACGGCATGAGTCAACAGGACGTCAACAATCTTGCGACGACTCTCTCGAAAGCTCATAGTCTCATACAGGAAGCGCAACAAGTGGAGCAGAAAAGTTGGGTGGAGCCAAATCTGGCCGATCTTCGGCCTGTGAAAGAGTAACGCTTCAGGAATCACCGATCGAATGTCTTCGGGTGTTGGTTTGTAGTAGTGCACTGACTGTGGCGCTTGATCATCACAAGCTGTTGGGGGGAGGCCGGTCTTTACATGTAAGGCAGCGCCATGGTCTGCAGTCTAGAACTACTGGCTCTGGTAATTGCCAAACAACCTTTGTGGCATTTTTTCCAGCCTCTCTTGGCGCAATCTTGTGGTTGTTAGCCTCAGAATGTGCACCGGCTGACTTTGGCTGCACCTGCCGTGTGTTGTCGCTCCGATTTTCCCCTGGCTGCTCAGAACTGAGCGTCTCTAGTGGGGGCCCTGCGCATTTCCAAGCGCCTAGCCTCTGGCCAGAAATCAATTCTTCCTGTGCCAGATGCCTGTCCTGGTCGTTGTTGACTTGTGTCAGCCATGGCACATTTTTCCGGATGACAGTGACCCGGTAGTGGATGCCGACATGGTGCAATGAGGTTTCTTGGCACGAAAAGACCTTCGTCCGCAGCACCTTATGCGTGCTTTGTTTGGGCCCTGTTTTGGCCACGATGGGCGCCACATCACACCACATTTTTCCACGGCATTTGTAAGAATCCAAAATGATCACAGGCTCTCCCTGATGCAAAGCGGAGAAGCCGACAGCGGGCGAGATGTGAGTACCCGCGGAACTCATTGAACTGAGCGGTGAAAGCAAGCTGAATCTTTGCAGGTTGAGGAGGTTGGGCAATGTGCGCCCTGCTCTCAAGTGTAGCGCAATCTGGTGCACTGACCCTACATTTTTGCGTAGGTCTCTTTCTTGTTTCTGTCGTGCGCGTTCGGTTGTGAGAATCTCCTCATCTTGCTGGGATGCTTGAGGCAAAGAGCAAGCAGGCCGGCTTGCTTTGCTGTTTTTCTTGGATCTCTTGCTGGCAGGTTCGTCTGTGTGACCGATCACTGGCCTTTTCTCACCAATCTTGGGCGCCGGCTGGGCGTTGTCACGGCTCAATTGTCGCCAACTTTTTGGCTTGTTTTTCCATTTTTTTTACAGCCATGTGCAAAAAAGCAAAACTAAGATGGACGGTAAATGAAATCACAAGATCTTGCGCCATAAAACGTCAGAGACAAGTGCCAGCTTGGTGTTCGCATGGTTTCGATACAATCACATCAAGCGTGTGATGAAATATATATATGTATATATATATATATGAATGTATGTATGTTTATATATATATGTACAATGGATACTTCCAGACTCGTCCTGTAGATATGGGGCACGCAAGCCCACTGCAAGCAATAGTTTCGTAGGAGACCTCACAGAGCCGCCTCCTTCCCGACACTCTCTCACCCCCATTCTCCTGATGGTGATTTCTTCACGCAGGCGGCGGTGAATGGCAAAGGGACGTCGTCCTGAACAGAGAGGCCAGGATGATGACTTGAAACAACTTTGACCGGGGCCGTAGGCGAGGTTCGTGAGGGAACAGCCGAGATCACTTCATGTAACCATCATAGCGGCTGGATGCATGGATCTGTTGCAGTCACAGCCCACCGTACCCTGTGCTATCACTTATAAGGTTCCTCTTTCACCTAGGTGTTTACACATTTGCGCTAGACATGTAGACGGTCGGCATATATGCAACATATGGCCTATACCTATGATGGCTCTCCATATGTAGTTACACCATCTTCATTGTCAAGTTGCTCCCCTAGGGCCCTCTGCAAGTCCATATATCATAGTTCCCACCAGCATCGCAGACCAGTCCATACGAGCAGCCACGATGAAGGGGCTGGGGACGAACGAATTTTTCGCGTGGAAGTGGGTGCATGGTTGACGGGACCTCGCAGAAAGCTCACTGAACCCATCTCACAAGCTGGAAAGATTACGAAAGATGTGCGACCTCGAAATGTGTGGATGTCTTCACCCTAGGCCTCCGTCATTCACCCCAAGCCTTCGTCACACTCCCACCACTCATCACCTGCTCCCAACACGGAGGAGGTTGCTTGGCAACGCCGCAGCGCGCAAGGCTCAGACGTTGCTTCACCAACTCATAGAGCGAGCTGTCCTGTGGATCTGGGTCAAAAGGTTGGGGCGATGAACATTGGGCAGGAGCCTCTTTGACAGGAGGTCAGGCTTGGGGCATTACCCACCGCCAGAAAAGACTTTAACTTGAGCGGGGAAACACGAAAGGTAGAGACGGACCGAGTAGCTGTCGGGACCTTTTCTGGTGAGGGACTGTCTCCGGTGTTTCAGGAACGTGCCCCTTGGTCAATCAAGGATGAAACCAACAAAGCCAGAGAGCACAAGAAGGCATAAGAAGGCTCAAGAGGAACACCGTTGCGGTCAGATTGCGCCACACGGCTCTGCAGAGAGGCTGCGTTGCGTCGACGTTCGTTTGTGTCCAGGTGTGTGAAAACAGGCGCGCGTAAAAGTCGCAATGCGTAAACGCTCGCATGTGTACCAGCTATGGTCCCACAGCTGCACGCACTGTGTCAGGATTACAGGCCTGCACGCGTTGCGTCGAAGCTGCAGTGACTCAGTGACCAACCCCCTTGTAAGGATAGTGCTGGAGGGGTGCGGCCGGTACTGCCAGGGATGGACGTCACGCTATGGTGGGTGTGCTCCACGATGCGGTGAGATTTCGCCACGCTAGGGTATAAGGCTGAGTCGAATGGTGTTCCGCGACGCGAGGGGTTCTTTGCAGAGAGGCCGTGTTGCATCGATGCTCGTTGGTGTCGAGCAATATGGTCTGTGAACGCAGTACGCGCTGTGTCAGGCTGCCGGGTGCGCACGTGCGGCATCGAAGCTGCATTGCGCGACCTCATTGCGCAGGGTTCGTGCTGTATTGCGCAACCTCATGGCCAGCGTCGTACTGCTGTGACTGTTAAGCGCATGACTTCACCTTATGTCCAGAATTTAGTAGTGCTGGCGACGAGGGGAGGGGACGGGGAGGGGAGTGGAGGGGGGTCGAATCAATTGATTTATCAATCATTCATCACATGGGGAGGGGGGGGGAGGGGGGGGTGGGGGTGTTAGACATTGATCTACCAATCTTTAGTCCCGAGCAAGCTCTCAAGCCAGTCCCTTTGCTTCGCAAAGCAAACTCAAGGTAGTCCTTACCAGGCTACCTTTCGTGAAAAAAACAAGTTTGATTCTTCGTGGACTCCATGGCAGAGACTTCATGGCTTTGGCTCCCCTTCTCGCTCTGTATCGGTCTCGTTGGCTCCCGTTGGCTCTCGTGCGTTCCAAGGCTCCAACTCTTCCAGAGCCCGGGCAGAGTCACCAGAGGCCAAGTAACGAAAGCTGAGCCGCTGCAGCACCTTTTGGGGAGAGAAGAAAGTAACAAAACACTGGTGGCAGCTACTGTGACAGCTGCTGTGACAGCTGGTGACCCTTTTAAATGGATGAACATTGGATGAACTCTGGATCCATCAAATCTTTTCACTGGCCGAACGACGCTTGAGGCAGGTGTCTATGTCCCTACAGGTTGGTTATCAAGAATGTATGCGTGTGTGTGGGATGTCAGCCCTGAATTGAAACACAGCCTCTGAACAACTGTGAAAACTGCTGTTCCCATGTATAACCCCATCTAGCTCCAATGGAGACAACTCCTTCTCAGTCAACTTCCAAGTTTTGCGACCAAATCCGAATTAAATCTGCCAAATGCACGAGCAAGCCAGGTGTGAACTGCAGATCCCTCCACCACCAGGACCGCGCTTGCCCCCCCGCGCGCACCCCCACGGAGTGCCACCACGGCGCACCTGGGCACCCTGAGGCGTGGCCAACTGCCGCAGGCGCTCCCGCGAGCGGCGTGCCTCCTGGGCATGGCGCAGACCCTCCAACCGACCGGGATGACAACAACATGGGTTGCCCAACTGGGTATCAGTAGCATCTCGCATGGCTGCAGAGAAAAAACGGTGTATTTGTTGCTTGACTTGGCAACCCTAGGTAACCTTAGTGCTAGTTCAACGTGTTGTCAACCTTAGTTCACTCTTCACCCCTAGTCTTGTAGAGGTGAAATTCCTACCCTACAATAGATTTCAATAGTGAAATTCCACTCTGGCCTTTGCTCTCCAGTGTCCATTCCATTCTTTAATTCTTCCAACCCCGGCTCAATACCCCGCCGTGTTTCTCCAAGGAGCACATTGCACGCAGCAGGTGGTAGATACTACTGCTGGGCACGACCCCGACGCTTTGCCCGATGTAGACCTCGACGGACTGACTGAGCGTGTCGGAGAGTGTGAAGTAGATTCCAGTAGGAGGATCGAACATCAACAGAAAGAACATCAACAGGCCATGGTAGGGTGTAATACGCATCCTTGGCACTGACCTATAAGCTTATTCTGGCGCACTTGCTTCGTTAGCTAGTGGGTGGTTTTGTATTTCCTGGTCGCAACAGGCCAAAAAAAAGGTGGGATCTTATTTGACTAGTGACAAAGCCTATGTATGGCTTCCGTCTTGGTTTGCCAACGCTCGCTTCAAGGACCAGAACAACACACCAGCAACAGAACCATTCCGCACACCAAAAAAAAACACGAAAACAATCACCTGAGTTGATCAACACATCTAAGGAGGGGCTTGCATGAAATGCAGCACAAAACAAGTCTTGACCCGCTCGCGAACTGTCCGAACGCACCGTCCGATCGACCCCCGTCTCGCCCCCTCCCCTCACGACCCCCGAGGGGCTCATTGGCTGGTGTAGAAAAGGAGACGTCCATAGCACACCTGCGAGGATCGTTCCGGGAACCGAGCGAAACCGTGGCACCATAGTCTCCTTATGTCTCTTTGCTATAGCGCGTGCTTTCAATAATAGCAGAGAAGAACAAAGGTTGTATGGCACCATAGGTTGCTCATTTTATATAGGTTCCATGACTCTCAAAAGACGCACCTGCCCTGTATACACACAACATTGTAGGGTCAACGCTTTATAAACATAACAGGCTCGGCTTCTCTATGTCGAAAGTAGGATCGACCTGCTGCTCCAGTCGCATCTAGCTGCGCTCGTTGGCTGCATCGTCCCGCTGCTTGAGACCTGTCGCCAGTTGAGATTTGCAGAAACGGACACAAACCGAGCCGGACGAGATCTATGTGAAAGGGCTGAAATCCCGAACTTTCTGGACACAGAGAGATATGAGAGAGAGAGAGAGAGAGAAAGAGCCGCAAAAAAATCCACTCCAATGACATCATCCAATGACATTGTATTCTGTATTAAGAAAATATACGATAAACTACTTTCAAGATGACAAGCGCTTCGATGCCAACCATGAGGTGTTGGCTTTAGTCAGGCACTCTGATCCTGGTCGACATTTTCCACGCTCCGCTGCTGGACCCCTGGAGACGGCGCACGCGGTGGGCATCACCACAACAACTTAAGTCCAGCACAGCTTTCCATGCTGGAGCTGATGATTCTGCAAACAACAACCCCGCAGCAGAGATGTTCTCTCTAACTTTCCCTTTGTCAGCCACTGCAGTCTGGGACTGAACCCATCAGTCACTCTGTAAGTTGCGCACTCAACTCACAGCTAGTGCCACCTAAAGCCTACGCAGGAAAGCACGTGGCCTCCACTCCTAGCTCAGCCCTGCAACTCATGGCTGAATTATTTCCTTCCTGGTCAGTCAGCGAGGTCTTCTGAAAAACTCCTGGGAGCAACAGCCACTTCGACCCATCCTTCTTCGCTTTCTTACTCTGGCGGGTGACGACCTCATCGTCTGCATCTGGCCCCTCCTCTGCACCCTCCACAAGCTTTACAAGGCCTGCTGCTTGAAGCTTTGCGAACGCAGCTTTCAACCTGGTTTTTGTGATGTGGGTGAGAGCACACGTTGCCTCTAAAGAACTGCGTGTCAACACGACCTCTTACAAAAAAAGAGCTGGCCTTCTTGTCCTGCTGTTGTCCTCTGGCTGCGCTGACCAGCCCTGACCACATTGACTGGCCGCGTCCCTGAACTCTGTGGCCGGGTTCTATGGCCGGTGCTCCTCTTGTCTACTCTTGTCCTGCAGTTCTCCTGCTCTTGCCCTTCTCTAGTCCTTCTCTTGTTCTGCTATTGTTCTTTGGCCGCGCTGACCAGCCCTGGCCACACTGACTGGCCGCGTCCTGGAGGTCTGCTTCCGTGCCACGCTGACTGCCCGCGCCCCTGAACTTTATGGCCGGGTGCTGTGGCCGGGTCTTGTGCTCCTCTTGTCTTCTCTTGTCCTGCTGTTCTCCTGCTCTTGTCCTGCTGTTGTTCTCTGGCCGCGCTGACCAGCCCTGGCCACACTGACGGGCTGCACCCCTGAACTTTTCCTGAATATGGCCAACAGCTGAACAGCTGGAGAGGAGTGCAGCCGATCAAAAAGCGATGTCGACGCCGATCAAAAATGACAAAATCAGGGCTGAAGCAGTTTACTCTTGGTGGGGAAGGTAGGGCGTACCAAGAAATCGTTTTTGATTAACGTTGGTCCTAACGAGTCGTTTTGAAACTGTTTGGGATTGAAAATGTCCTTTTAGACAACCCTGAAATGTCCTTAAACTATACAAGCGAGTCACACAAACGGGTTACAAACGGGTTGTCGCGGTCGACCGCAGTCAGTTTCGAACAATGCACCAGGACAAAACAGCATCACCAGCATCACCAGGCAGTGGCTGGGCAAACTTGAAAAAAAGTGAAATTGAAAAATCACAATTTTTTCAAGTTTGCGTTTCAGTGTCCCCTGAAAAGTATCCGAAAGGAAGGGATCGTCGCCGGGCACCCCCCAAAAATGTATCCTGTCTCCTCTGAACCAACCAATCGTGCCAACGAAAAAATATCAACAAATCAGCTAAGCAGCTTCTCGCCTAGGTTGTTACGGAAAGCCTGCTGGCGTCGATTCTTGAACTTCTTGCGCAGCGACGACAAAGTGAATTGTGCATCAGGACCTTGGGCCATGGGGTTGCGCTGATCTGAGTTCAGACTAAGCGAGTTCAGACTAGCTTTGTGGGCTGCAGCTTTAAGTGCCTGACTACAATCGGTGAGAATTGATTTGCACAGGATCTGCTCGGCCGTCAATGGCACGCAGGGTCCGCTGCGAAGGTCTTGTGGCGCCTTGTTTCCGGGGATGGACGCTGCTGCTCGCACCAGCCCACGATGCAAATGCCATTGTCGCCGCAGGGCGTGCATGGCCATGAAGAGTTCCTCGATGCGCACGGGCCGTTCGGAGTCTTCTTCCTACAGCAGAGATTGCGCGTTATGGGCGATACGCAATTGAACACGCTACCGGGACTTTTCAAGGTTTGCCAGACAAGTCCTGCGAAAGTGCTTGGACGATGCGGCGAACAAAGTTGCACAATCGAAGGAGGTCGCTCCTGTAGAACCCGAGCTTGACCTGGCCACAGCGAGGCGGATCTGTTCAAGAAACTGGACTGCAGTCTATATACATAACGGGCATGGAAAGATTGCGGCTTGTTGATGCAAGAAAGAATGGCCTGGAAGTGCTCCTCACATCGGTTGCTGCCAAGCCAAGTCTCCAATGCCCTCCCCAGGGCACGGAAAGCCGAGAGCGCGTGGCCATCAAGCCGCACACGCTTCGCCTGCTGATTTTCCGCAGCTTTGGCCACATACTCATGGACTTTCACAATCAAGTTCTTCGCATCCTGGCAGGGCCAAGACTCCTTGTCTGCACAAGCCATCCAATTGTCAGGGGCCACAGCGAGGTGATAGCGTTTGTGGAAGCCTTGCGCATCAGGAGCAAGAGCGATGAGGCAGATCGGGTGTTGTCCCAATAGGCGACTGCCAAAAGAATATATCCCAGATTCATGCATTAGTGGCAATCCTCTTTGCATTTGAAGGAGTCTCTGGAGAATCACCTCCTAAGCTGGCTCTCATTCAACAATGCTGGGATGACAGGCTTACAGTTGACAAAGCGTTGATTCGTCAATGTCTTGCAGCCCTTTGCTGACTTTGTGGCCAAAGCACTTCCGAGCATGTGACGTGGCAACCTTGGCTTGCTGGAAGATCGATGATTCGGTTTTGTGATGATTTGAGTCTGATACCGCTGAATGTGCCAGACACCTGGACAGTCATTGCACAACTCCTTGAGGCATTGGATTTGGCAGCATATCATGAACCGCTTCTCAAGCTGTTGGTTGAAGGGCAGAATATCCCGTCAGACATCATGTGGGATGATTTGCCATGTGGAGAGATCTCAGTGAAAATTGGGCCGCACACCTTATGCACCATGCAGGTCATTCGAACCGGTACTGAGCAAATTGAGATTGACCCCATTGTATCCCCCACACAACCTTGGGGAGGACAAGATGAGGACCCAGAATTTGACCAACTGCAGGAAACAGACTGGGAAAGTTCTCCTGCTGCAGCAAGACGGAACATATGAATGGATTAGCAATGCGAACTTGGATCGACTGGGGAGCATTCCTTCCTTTCGACATCACGAGTCGTCAGTTCACTTCTTCAAGGCCAACAAAGATGCTTGTCTAAAGCTTCTTGGAGTCCATGTGGTGATGGCAATTCAAGGGGTGTATGATCCCATCAGCCCAAACAAGTGGGTCCTCCTGGCCGGGGGTCAGGAATTGCGGTGGTGCAAAATTTGCCAAGCTCCAAGAACGCTCACACCACGCCAGTGCAATGACCTGTTGGAGCAACAATGTCATATTACTCTGCGCAACTTAGTTGAGTGCAGGGAAGACCAGCCGATGATGCTCATCAATGGTGATGTGCTATGGAGTGACACTAGGGTTCGCAATGTGGTTCCTCTGAGCTTTGGTTGCTTGCTGATCAATCCAGTTGCAATGTTCGAAATGACACCATGGGAGCACGACTTCTCCAGTTCAATCTGGAACCAGGCTCGCTGGCACTGGATGAGATGGTCTATCATTTTGATGTGTTGCAAATGCTCATGCCGCCCATTTGCTGGTGCCCACCAGCACTGTGGGTCAACAATGAGTCGCAGTTCAGGTTCCCTACTCACCCGGCAGATCTCCAGTTGTGCTACCAACACTTTGTAGTGCCCATTCTTGTTGTCTTTGACTGGATCTTTGTGGAAGTTCGATTTTTCGAAGGCCAATGGAGGGTGCTTTACCATTCACCGGAACAGCTCACCATTCGGCAGACTACAGCTGTACTTGAGTTGGTGAATGTGATGGGAATTACAGTGGCACACAATGCATATCGCTGGATTCGAACTGCAGAAGACTCTGAGCTAGCCCCGTGGCATACGCTGCGAACCTTCTATGCCCGAGCAGGAGCTCCGCTGCTGCCAACCTCACATCGTAGCACGCAAAGGCTACAGAGGGACCAATATTCCACTCATGTGATGCAAATCATTGATCAAGCTGACTTCGTGTGGAGGGAGACAAGAGCTGATGACAGAATGATCCAATTTGCTCAAGCATCACGGACTGCCTTCCTCCTGGCGATCACAGAATCTCCGAGTCGAGCAGCGGATTTGATCTTGAGGGCCACTGGAAGAGAAATGCATGCTTATGACATTCGGGAGATCTTCTTTATTGCAGAAGACTGGCTTGACATGCGGTTGAATATCTACCGCAAAAAAACAGGCTGCCAGCGATGAGATTGAGTTTGCGATGTCCTTCTTCCTGCCAGATACCTTCTGTCCGCCGGTGTTGCATCATGATCTTTCCTTGATTGCCCCAAGTGTCAAACCCACATGCAGTGAGATTCAGCGATTTGTTGCACTCCGTGAAGGACACTGGATTGGCATTGAGGTGGTGTGTAATGCCCATGAACGTACCTGCAGGGCAGTCTTCCTCCAAGTCCCACCAAGGGGTCAGCAAATCTGGCATGATTTTGCGATTGACTACATCATTCCCTTTGGCTTCCGGCCCATTGTGATCATTGACACGAACCGGACCCGACCTGGAATGTGTGGCTGGGAACTCCTCTACCGATGGATTGTTGTTGACATTCATTTGCCAGATTCATTTCATGTGCCACATCAGAAGCGGCAAATCATTGATGTCATCATTGATGAATCGAATCAGGCTTGGAGAACTGCTGGAGCACCACCCATGCTACGTACGTTTGCAGAAAATCTTCGGAGGCTATTCTTGGTTGTTGGGGGAATTCACTTCCTTCAACCCTGTGCTGCAGTTTCATTAGGAGGCATGGAAGGGCAGGCCAGCACCGACACTCCGATGCAGCCAACTGATCCCTGGCAAGTTGATGACCCGTGGAAGCCCAAAAAGAAGTCTGCCAAGCAGAGTTAGTAAATGGGAGGACCTTCAGCTGCAATCTGACCATCCTTTCGTTGCCAAGGACAAGACATCCTTGCCGTTTGTTCAGAAGCAGCAGTTGTCCACCAACCGCGGGGGCATTGCCTTTGTCTCGAAGGGGAATCTGCAGCAGGCAAGAGAGATTGTTCCAAAGGAGCCCTGTGCGCTTCTTCTGCCGATGATCGATCCAACAGATCCGCTTGCGAAGTTATCCAACCTGTCGGGACCCTTCGAGGTTATTGTCTTTGACCCAGCGTTGAACCAGGAATATAAACGCCAGGTCCATCTCTTGGTCATCACTCCTGAGGTTCACTTCACGTTGCCTGCCCCAGCAATTACGCTTACTCTGGCAGCAGTTTGTGAGATTGTCCTGGAGTGTGATGCTCGCCTCACCACAAAGGATGTCTTCCAAAGCTTCTATGACAATCCTCTCGCCAAGTTCAAGGCCCAGTTAAAAGAAGTATGCCCAGATCCTATCTGGGGGCATGCAGCCATCTATGGCTATAGGGCAGTTCAAGAACACACCAAAGAACGGAATGATGTGATCAATGAGTGTCTGTTGAAGGTCCAGCAGAAGCACAGGGTCCCACTCCTTTCTGCCAGCGGAAATGGGGGCCTGGTTGTCCGAGACTTTATTCCAAAAGGGGAGCAAGTGCAGGATCTGTCCATTGATTGAGCAAAGCAGCATCATCGATCACTGGTTATCGTGGCATTGCGGTTACCAAGAGAGGACTTGTGCCAAGGTTTGCCACTGATTCGCTGGCAACTGCTCGGGACCTTCTACTGCCGCAGGATGACCGCATCTGCTCGATCAACAAAGC